GCCTTTTTAAAATCTAGCATCAATTTATTGCCTGGGAAAGAACATGAGAAAAGCCTAACAGTAAATTTGTGAAATACTGGACAAGACTAAATTTAAAAATAGCTCGACTGAAGTACCAGTAATTATAGCGTTCTTGTCGTCGAGAGGATCATCATCGTAGAGAATGTCAGTCACTCCCACGACGGCCAATCCCAAGATAACAAAGACCATTCCAATCCATTTGAAACCCTGAATGCGTGCTCCCAGCAATCCAACGGAGAGCAGACCAGTGAAGACAATAACAGCTCCTAAAGTAAATCATTAGAAGCAATTGGTTCACGTGATGAATATGTGTCACTGTAGTACTAGGAAACAGAATGTTGGGAAAGAAAAAGTACCGTACGAAAGAATTCACCTCTCAACATTTGGAAACTGCTAGCCGTTGTAAGATTCAAACCGATATACATGATTGACGTTGCAAGAATATCACAACAAGCCGGCGGCAAGAAAACAAACGGATTGAACTGGTGGTAGTTGCGGTTCGCAATCGGACGTGATATCGGTTACTGAACCGGATTCACCTGAAGTTCTAACAATGAAATTACCGACAGTTCTAAGAGGCCTACTTCAAATCAGCTCCAAGGAATCCATGAATCCATGTAGCCACATTTATCCAACTGCAACTGTGTATAAAAGACAAAAAGGAAAGATGTAAATTTGAAGCAAAGACAAACCACTAATGTTAGCTGCATTCCAACGATGTTTCTTATAACCATAAATGACAAAGAATGCGACTAAGCATAGGAATTCACCAAAAAACATGCACGTTGCCTGGAAATTCTTAAAATTAAAGTAAGATGTGACAGGTCGCTCAGGGAACCTCTGTGACTCTTCGAATTGTGTTATACTTTCGCGTCAGCGTCATGAGCGTACGCCAGCGTTTGAACGTTTCGTGTACGTTTCGCAGGAGCCGCGGAAAGCGCTGGCGTACGCCAAAACGCTGGATTGATATCTACAGGGGGGGGGAGGGGGCAAAAAAAGTCACTTCGACCGAGTCACATATCAGCAAAGTTTTCGCAGCCCAGACAGAGGACGTGGATACGAGTACCAGGGCGGAAGATACCCAAGATGTTCCTCGATAAGCAGGAGCTGGCTCTCGCCCATCACCTTCATGTACACCAAAATATGAAGTCATCTCCAGTCGCAGCCTGACTGGAGAAGACCTTTGGAATTCATGTCACCTCCAAACAGCTGCGAAACTTCTAGTATGGAGTCACCCATGGATAGCTACCTGGAGACCAGTACTCTCGATCTGGAAGACCTCCAACATCGAGCAGCTCCGACAACGTCGCCACGGTCTAGGACATCATCTTCACCGCAGTCGCCAAGGCGCGGGTTGATGGTATGGACCGGACGTACCTGGAATGGAAAGACCGATATTTTCTTCGTGGACCCCGGACTGAAGGTGAGCGCTGGCGGTTACATCGAGCAACTCGAGAAGAATATCCTCCCACATGTCGTCGCCCGTACCTTCTTGGAAACTTTGTACTGCTACAGCATTGGGTGCCACCACATGGAATCGAAGGGCGTTGGAGAAACTCTCGCCTACTTGGAATGGAAGGGGTTGAGTACCTGAAGAAGATTTATGATTTATTATCGGCAAACTAGTTACAATGGTCGAGATAAATAACAGTGTATGAGAAAAAAAAACTCCGATAAGGTGAAAAAACACTCATGGTAATACAAGACCTATAGCTGCAAGCAATGAGTGGAGAGGTAGTCAGCGCAGAAGGGCAGTGGGCCGCCAACACTGCAAGTCCATGGATGCTCTTGTAGGAACTCCGGATACCAACTTAGTAGGTCCGCCAACTTTGCTGACTTAGCTGAGATCCAACTCCACTTGCCGCAGATTGATGAAAAAATCCAGTGGCATGAGGATGTACATCAAAC